AAAAAAAAAAAAAAAAAGAAAGTAAATACAAGATGGTGCATCACTAAATGGGCCACAATTTCACAGGAAGGGCAGCCATCCTGGCCATGTAGAGCCCCACACCAATAGTTTGTCCAGAATTCCACACCCTGAACACAGCCTGGTAGTGTTGGGAGACAAGGCATGGGACAGGGCTTTCTACTGAACAAGAGCCTGGGGAACAGGAGCAGGGTAGGTGAGCAAATCTAGGGAGGCACATCAACTGAGTTGGACACAACTCATCCCCTGCATCATTCAAATCAGTTCATACCCTGGTATGACATGTGGTGCTCATATCCATATTAGAAAAGGGGACACTGCTAGTCCATGGCATATAGTGGCAATATAGTTACTTCAATTAATACCTATAATTGGCTATAATCAAGGGCCTATAGAAGGCTTTGGAAGACCAAGAAGCTATAGTAATATTACAGACGTTATGGTAGAAATAAAGAATAAAAAGGCTGTGGGATGGGCTGGCTTCATCTGTGTGTGCCAGAGAACTTAATGAAAGAACATGAAAAGGTCATGATTTTAATTTCTCAGCTTACTACATGAGTAGAAATCCAGCAAACATGGGTGCCTTGTCAGAATCCCTGGCTTCTTGTAATACAAAGTCTGAATTTCTGAAAACCAGAATCTGTTCCTGTGGTTGACCAAATTACATATAAGTTAAATTCATAGCCTTGCATTATAGAATTAGTTATAACGTTGGCTTTTTAATACATTTTTCAATTTGTTATTTAGTTAATATAAATTTCCAACATATGATCAGGGAAGAGCGCGAACATAGTCCCCCTCTACTACAAATTGTGCATTCTAGTTTCCCATATTTGGGGAAATTGCAGAGGTCAGCACATCCGGAGTGCAATGGGTAAGCCTTATCCTGGGAAAACCACCTTCGTGATCATGGTATCTCCCCTGCCAGGTAAGTATTATAATGTTGACTTTTTTAAAAAGGCTTGGACTCTGAAAATTGGGGCATTTGGGCAGATTACGAGCCTTGTAATACCCGCTTCTCTCCCTGGGGGAGGGCTGATATCTAAGTAAGCACTCCTGCCTTCCAGGACATATCATATGTAGAACACCAGGGGGCAGCAACTCCCCACAGATGATGGTATCTGATACAAAAAGAACTAAACTGAGCAGGAAATTGGCCCCTCTTCCTCTTAAGGCTTGCAATGCAAAGATGCACACGGCTTTTGTCACAGGGAGATCTGGGCTTAAATCTCAGCTCTACCACTTACTACGTCTGCCCCTGAGCCAGTGACTTCATCTCTGTAAACCATGGCTTCCTTATCTAGAAAAATAAGGAACAAAAAATAGTACCTACCCCATAGGAAAAAAAATTATTGTCCAAATATTACTTGTTCTTAGGCATCATAATAATTATCCTAATTTTATTCTCATCCATTCTGGGAGACAAGATAGGCATTTTTCAGATAAAGAACTAAAGAATCATGGCGGTGATGTAGTTTCATTTTCTAAAACTCTCCCTCAACCATTTTAGAGTTGGCAGTTGGCTTTGAAAGACTCGTGGTTTTTTTGAGATTCTGAGGTTCTGAGGCTCACCAAGGGCAAATACGTTGTCCAGGGCTATGCAGCAAATCAGTGGCCAATTCAGGGGCCAAAGAGCCAGCCCAGTGTACCCCCAGTCCAGGGGTCCAGCCACTGCCCCCACCACCTCATTATTCTGTTCTTGACTGCTTGCCACAGGGTCCTAGGCTGTGAGCTAGAAGAGAAAAACAATTCTCAAGGAGTATGTATTACTATGGAAAGGAATGTATGACATGTTGCTAAATGACACAAGGGATTTACAAAACAGTGGGTACAGCATGATGCCAGTGTGTCCTTATGTATGTTGGCAGAGGAGAAAAGTAAAAGGTCACAACACACAACAGGAAAAATGCTTCTCTCTGTGTGGTGGAATTACAGGTGATTTTTGTATTTTTCCCTCTAGCTTTTGTACACATTTCTAGATTCCTCCAACAAACATATTTTACTTCTATGATCAAAACAAATATCTCTGTGTGAATGTGTGTATGTGTATGTGTTATATTATTTTGACTGTCTGTTTAGAAACTTATGATACTAAGAGTCAGGCCTACGGGGCGGTGCCCATAACATAAGATGACCAGACGTCCCGCTTTTGGCAAGACAGTCCCAATTTTTAACAATTTGTCCAGCGTCCTGCGGCATTTTTAAAAAGTCTCGATTTTTGGAAAGAATGCACAATGGAAAGAAAGCTAGGGAATGGAGGGAGAATGGGAAGGGAATATACAGTTTTCGGCTGCCATGTGGCTATTTCACCAGGATATGAGTTTTATATTATTTTTGTTAATTTTATAATGTTAAACTTTAATAATAACAAATAATTGTTGAGAACTAATTATCGAGAACTGCTTATCAAAGTTCACATTGTTGATCAGTTGTTAGAATTCAGTGAGAAATATGCCAAAGAATAAAATAATACTATACATAATTTTTTAATGTATTATATTTGTAAATTGTACTTATGTTAAAATTAAAAAATATATATTACAATACTATTTTTGCGTTCTATGAAAACTTTTGTTGCTCCATATAAACCAAATTTTTAATTAAGAACCCCCCACCCCCTGCCTCATCAATGGTGTCCCGCTTTACCAATGTTAAAATCTGGTCACCTTACCATAGCACAGTGGTTACAGCACCAGGCACATAAACCAAGCCCAGCCTGGACCTGCTAAGCAACAATGACAACTGCAACCAAAAAATAGCTGGACATTGTGGCAGGTGCCTATAGTCCCAGTACTTGGGAGGCTAAGGCAAGAGACTCTCTTAAGCCCAAGAGTTTGAGGTTGCTGTAAGCTGTGACGTCACAGCACTCTACCGAGGGTGACATAATGAGACTCTGTCTCAAAAAAAAAAGTCAGGCCTGCGAGGTGACTCGCGCCTATAATCCTAGCACTCTGGAAAGCCTAGGCAAGAGGATTGGTTGAGCTCATGAGTTCCAAACCAGCCTAAGCAAGAGTGAGACCCTGTCTCTATTTAAAATATATATATATAAACTAGCTGGGAATGGTGGCACATGCCTGTAGCCCCAGCTACTTAGGAGGTTGAGGCTGGAGGATTGCTTGAGCCTGGGAATCTGAGGTTGCAGCGAGCTATGACACCAGGGAAATGTAGCCTGGGGCAACAGAGTGAGATTCTGTCTCCAAAAAAAAAAGTCGGGGTCTTAGGGCTGTCCTCCCTCCATGCTACCTAACACCCCTTAACTCCCCCTTCACCACGAGGCTGAGACCCTGCCCTGTCTGGCTGCCTCAAATCATTGCCCCTCTTGCCAGGAAAGCTTCTCGGCAGCTGTGGAATACCTGCCTCTGCCCCCACTTCCCCAGCACATTAATTAATCCCTTACCTAGCCACAGCCTGGGTTTTGTGCCCTTACCTGAAGAGTGGACTCTCTGAAAGTGATCTCCTTATTACCAAACCAATGGCCTCTGTGCTGTCTTTCCCTCTCTTCCTACCCTAAGTCCTGGCCTATCCCCAGCGTGGGGCTTTCTTGATTGTTCCCTCCTTCTGGATGCACTTTCTTCCCTCACTCCTCTGACCACACCTCACCTGGGCTCCCACAGCCCCTCTGGCCTGCTCAGGAGGGGCTTCCAGGTTGCTGGGCTCCTTTCCTCCATCATTTATCTCCCTTGGATGACCTCACCAGAACCAACAACCCCCAGCACCCACAAGCTTGAGTGGCCTACATACACTCTCTTCCAAGCCCCAACCAGATGGTGAATCTGGTGGGCCACCCTACACCTGTCACATCGGGAGCTAAGCCATGCTCTCCTAAGTCTCCTAGCCCAGCCCCCTAATCCTCCTGCCTCATTCACTCTGGAAATGGCTTCCCAGGAGCTGGTCATCCAGGGCCAAAACCACACCACTCAGTGGCAGGGTTTGGCCCCTTCCTGCAGAGCCCAGGCCCTCTGAGGACTCCAACCAGTTCCCAGTCCATGCAGAGGACATCCTCATGGGCCTCCACACCTCTGGTCTATATGATTCCCATGGACTCCCACTGGTCTCCCACCTTTGTGCTTTCCCTCCAGTTTAGCCTAAATAAGCTGCATCTACAGGATCGTCATGGTTTTGATCACATCTGGACACTGACCATGTGTCAGGCATCCAGGGCTTTACCTGACTTCTCATTTATTCTCCACCATAACCATGTAAGGGACAAACTATTATTACTACCTGCATTTCAAAGATGAGAAAAGTAAGGTTCAGAGAGTTAATTACATAGTTATCAAGGTCTTGAGGTAGTCTGATTTGACTGCAAAGCATCTGCCCTTAACCACTCTGTAACATTACAGTCCTGCCTCTTTACCAGAATCACCTATAGGATAAAAGTTCATACCCTGCCCAGTGCGGTGGCTCACGCTTGTAATCCCAGCACTCTGGAAGGCTAAGGTGGGTGGATTGCCTGAGCTTGGTGAATTCGAGACCAGCCTGAGCAAGAGCAAGACCACATCTCTAAAACATAGCCGGGTGTTGTGGCAGGAGCCTGTAATCCCAGCTACTTGGGAGGCTGAAGCAAGGGGATTGCTTGAACCCAAGAGTTTGAGGTTGCCCTGAGCTGTGATGTCATAGCACTCTGCCAAGGTCGACAAAATGAGACTCTCTCTCAAAAAAAAAGAAAGTCCATACCCTTCCACCTGGTTCTTAGAAGCCTCCTGGTGTATAGCTCTGACATACATTTTCAGTCCTGTCACCCAATGTGCCCATTGGCACCCTCCATTCTCTATCCTGACTACACACTTCACCTGCTCACAGCTTAACCCACGTCTTCTTGCCACCTGGAGCACCTGTTGGTTCAAGCCCACTTCCACATGTCCAAATGCCCCCATCCTTGGTGGCTCATGCCTGTAACCCTAACTCTTTAGGAGACTGAGGAGGATTGAGCTCAGGAGTTTGAGCCCAAATGACTTTTGCTCCATGCAGAGCAGGTTATGCAGCCACAATGAGGGACAAGCCTGTGACAACTGAGAGATGGTAGACGGAGAACATGTCCTTGCTGTTGCAGAAAGTCACTAGGAAATGTGGACCCCTCACTCTGGGCCTCAGTTTTCCTGTCTGTAAGATGGACAGATAGGACCAGATCATCTTCAGGAATACTTTTGCTCAAATAGCCCAAGACCTATGCTTTCATGATCCCCTAAAATGGAGGTGAACTTGAGTTTTTGGAATCTCTTTAAATATTCACAGAATGGAAAAAATGTCAGGGCTGGGAAGTACTTCAGAATAAAAATGATCCCACCTTCTCACTTCCCCCAAGGACTGGTTGGTTATCCAGGAGTGGTGGGAAGAAGGTTATGCTCTCTGCTTAATGGAGAGCCCATCTCAGCAGTTCCCCAGCCTGACAGAAAGATGGTAGGAGGAGCCTCAGCGTCAAAAGCTGCAAAGTCTGGCTGGGGCTGGGCTTGGTCTGCCCAGCTCCAGGAGGCCTCAGTAATTTTCCATAACCAGCAGGCCAGCAGCCCAGGACACGTGCTCTCCTCTCCCCCGGCCCCTTACATTCCTCTGCACATTCAGGCAGCAAAATGGCATTCAGGGCCCTGTTGGGGGTGGAAGGGGCAGAGGGAACAGGGGCAGAGGCCCAAACACACAAAGACTTACAGGTGCAGGTTTAGTCACAAACACGCAGACCCAGAAAAGAACACAGATCCCGATAAGGCGAAGGTTCTCAGACACACATGACACCCACAGACACAATATACCCACTCCACCAGAAACATCAGAGACCCATGCACAGAGGCACACACAAAGCACAGACAGAAGTATTCATTCTATGCACAGACACACACAGGCACATTCACACCCAGAGGTCACGTGTGCACCCAGCAGCGGCCCCATGCACTCTATCTAGGTCAAGGAATGGGGGGAAAGCCCTGAGCTATCCCAGTCCT